CAACCAACAAGCTAAACAAAATGAAATTATATACTCTCAGCACAGCTCAAGAAAGGCAGGTGTGCATCTTTGCTCCCTAAAATAATAATAAATTAAAGAGCCTGAAGTGTGTTGTTTGTCAAACCTGTCCTGTTTGTGTTCATAGTAAACTTGATATGTCCCTCTCTAAACTTGCATACTACACACCTAACGTTCGCAGTCATGAAGATTTAATTCTGGTAATTAAATAGATATAATACCGTAGTCATCACTCATCATTATAGGTTTCACTTTTTGTTTGCAAACTTTGCAGACAGTACGTACATGGCAAGGTAATAACGATGGAAGCTAAAAATCATGTCTTTTTCAAAAACGACGGAGACGTATTTAGTTTGGCATGTGATCCAGCGTACCTCAGATAGCGCACCAGCGGTCGGTGTTCCGGCGAAGTAGGTAGAATGGCAAGATTGTATGACGGTATATGGAGCATTGGCAGTCGAGGTTCAGGCAAAGTTGGCAGAGCGGCGAGATTGGATGCTTTCATAGAGCCCTCGATGCCTTCTATGTGGCAAAGGAGGGCAGTTCATGTGGACAAAAGAGGGACTTAACACTTTTCCTGATGTGAATTAAGGGAGATGTAAATTAAGGATAACCACATATTAAAGAATGGCTTCTACCGGTTCCGTCCAACAAGTGCACAAAGAATAGCAGCTCTTTGACTACAACGACATTATGCGCTAGTACATCATGAAGAGACCTCCATTACATAACTGACCATTACGCGAACAGACAACCATATCATAACTTTGACCATCAATATATGTATAAACAGTTAACAGTACAACACAAAAACAGTAAACATGCTGGACCAACACGTCAAAATCATTGATCGAAAAGCATGGAATGCAACAAAAATGTCCGGCTCTGTACAGACCAACACACCATTGTTTTGTTCAAAGCTAAAGTTCAGTTGTGCACTTAAACCCCACATTTCAACCACAATATATTATGAGCAGACAGGAATCCTTGAATAGAAGGATGCACATCTAGATCTCACATGCTTCAAAGATAGATTTGTGTATCTTGCAGGGCATCCAGGTCCCTAGCTAGTAACTTAGTTGATCTTAACATAATTGGAGCAATTTCCAGTAGACTTGAATATCACCTATTCTGATATGTTTGCTCTGTATTAACAGTGAAACAATTTGCTTGATGGATGCACTTCATCGTAAATTAGGTGCTATGCTTAGCAAATAAAAACAAAACCTAAAGGCTACAATAATAATCCAGAATTAAACCGGGAACTTGCATTGTGCGGTAAGGGAAGACTGCAGTTTTAGCCCCTCACAGATTTTCCTACCAACTATGTCTCATCAATTTTTGCACGGAGAGGATCCAGTCATGTACAAGCTACCCGGAAATTTTCTATGTACGTCTACGTCCTAGTGTGTCATCTTTATCAGATTAAATCATCAAAGCAACGCCCATCTGACAAGTAAGCGGAGAGAATGTCGATTGCCTAAGATCAGCAAGACTGTCACTGAAGCCGAGTATATATAGGTCACAAAGGAAAAATTGCGGTGGATGGTTGCATAAGTTTAGTGTCGAGGAAGCTGCAATGCTGACCTGGATACGCTGCGACAGAAGGTAGAGGTGCCTACCGGCCGACCACCGTGCATCATAGAAAATGGAATCAATAGGGGCCGGCTGCAGCCGCTGCACTGAACTTGACCAAGCATATCAGACTCCTGAAAAGTGTGAAGTTGCAACAGAAATAACATTTTATTAGGAATTCATCAGAAGTAGCATAAACCTATGGTTATGAAATACAGACCACTATTGAGCCTGGACACCTCCTTGAATATTATAATTCTTGCAATGGACTATTAAACATGGGGTTTGCAATCTATGAAGTAGTGCTTATTCACATTAAAAAAAATTGAAAGCATTACAGACTATCTAGCAAGGATTGAAGAGTTAGCAATTACTATTTGCATAGAATAGTAGTTGGTGCATGAATCAGAACCAGTGGAGATCCTACTTGTGTTCGTGAATCCTGAAGGTGTTCGCAATAGCATCGGGGCATCAACGACAGAAGGGCCAAGATCAGAGAGACCGGAGCGCTACGAAGGTCAAAATCATACATGTGCGCGCGCAGAGGTAAAGAGGACGGCAACGGTAGCAAGCCTCTAAAGCCCTTGGACCGGAGCGGCGCGAATCCTGAAGGTGTGGCCGGAGGAAAGACGCGGGCGAGGGACGCGCCGAGCAGCGCAGGCCTCCGAAGTGCGGCGCCAGGGAAGGAGCGGCCGGTTCCGCCGTCCTGGCCTGGCAGTAGCTCCAGAGCTAGGGTTCCGCCGGCTGGTGAGACTGGCAATTTAGGAGGATTTTTGGGGGGCGGAGGAGACGGGGAGGAGATTGGGGAATCGAAGAGGAAGAGGCGGCGCGGGGATGTGCCTGCCGTTGCCGTGCCAGAAGAGAAACTGGGTTGGAGTTGGGCTTCGTTCGGCCATATGTTGAGGCCCAGGCGGGCGTTGGAATCGGGCGGCTTCGTTGGAGGAAGTACATTTTACTAGGTGAATTAGGGTTTGCTAAGAAAATTGAATTAGGGATTTTATTCAACGTTCAAAACATAAGGGATGCCAAGCAATTTCAGAAGCCCCTCAAAAAAAAAAACATGCGATTTCAGGAAGTATCCCTAGCCACATATGGCGCCCTACACGAAGAGTCAGAAGCTGCTTTCGCTATTGCATGTGCTTCAAAGTTGGTCTCCCTATTCTCAAACAGAGAGCCGCCATTTGCAAGGTCCTAGCTTCTGTGATTGATCTTGCTCGGAACCAAAGCATTGGATGTTGCAGCACCTTTATTGATGTTTGAAATAGCTGGATC